GTTAGCGAATTATATTAGCGAATTTGACTAGCGAATTATATCAACAGTTGATAAAAAGATATTTGAAAAAATTAACTGTTTAGATTAACATGTAAAAAGACTTAAGTGTATACATATATTTAATAATAATTATTATTATTTTTAAAAAATAAAAAATAAAAAATATATAATTAAGCCAATCATATTAACTACTTGGCAAATTGAAGTCGGAAACTATCTCGCAAGGTCCTTGTTAATAATAATAATTATTATTTTAAAAAAATAAAATATATAATTAAGCCAATCATATTAACTACCCTATTACATTGTAGTATCTGTTCATATACTTTCTCAACCTACTGAAACACAAAAAACCAATAACACCTCCACTGAGGCTCAAACTCGTAACCTTCAAATGGAAGTCCAACCGGATACCATTAGACCACATAATCCTGGTGACAATCAGCAGTTATCTCTTCAATATTAGTATATATTTAATATTTTATGCCCTAATTTTTATTTTTTCCCCTTATGCCCGTATTTGGTTTCAACCATACCTATACAAGTATTTTATTGACAATTATAATCAATCTTGACTATATTATCTTGCATTTGTAAACTTAGATTTGCCTATTTAAATACGCAAATTTAGCATTCAATTATCTATGCATGAACAATTCCAATATAATCTTGCCTTGATATATTTTAAAGTACTTATTTAAAAAAAAAAATATTGGGCATTATCTCAATCGCGCAATGCGCGTAAAAACTAGTTTTCCCTTATAAGTAACAAATACAAACCAACATTACTTATTAGAGAAAATGTAATACTTTTAAAGAAAAAAGTAATAAATATTTTATTCTTAATTAGTATTAAATTTGAGTATATAAGTATGACATTTACGCATATAAGCGGACCGACCTTACTTCTCTCACGGGTAGTACTAGTAGTTGCCGTTGTTTTTGTCATTTGTATTGTAATTTATTTACGAAATAATTAAATATGAGTAAACAATATTAGAGTCAATCGTGTTGTCTAATTTTTCTCTCTCTAGGGGTCCTAGGGTTTTCTCTTGTTCTCTAGGGTTTCTAGGGTTTTCGGCTCAGATTTTGCTCCTTTTTCGGCGATCGCCGGCGATACAGCTATGGACGAACAAGACAGTGAACCGGCAGCAGCAGTACGAACGACGGAGGTGGTGGAGAGACTCACGGCGAGTTGGGCGGACATGGCGTTGGAGGAGGATGGGGACGAGTTCGTCCCGGATGGCGACTGTGTTGGGGAGGTGACGGTCGATGGAGAGACGTCGTGGGCCATCGTAGGGCGGTTTCTCACGGCTAAGGTCGTCAAGCTCGAGTATATGCGGAACGTGATGGCGTCCGTGTGGCAGCCGGTAAGAGGGGTTCAGGTAACCGAAATACAACCGGGGCTATTCTTGTTTGTATTCTATCACGCCACGGATGTTGCGTATGTATTGGATGGGGGACCGTGGGCATTCGAGAACAACATGCTTGTTTGTCGCGAGGTTGAGGGGGGATGAACCCGTGTGATGTTCCTCTGGATACGGTGGATATGTGGGTTCAACTGCATGGATTACCGATGGGCTATACGTCGCAGAGTGTTCTTGAACAGGCCGGTAAGTTCATTGGTACATTCGCAAAGCATGATGATAGATTTGTCGGGGCCCCTGGTTAACCTTTTATCGAATACGGGTCTCGATTGCGGTGGGCAAACCGTTGAGGAGGGGTATGAAGCTGGTCAAAAGGGACAAGACTACGTGTTGGGTTTCTTTTAAGTATGAACGACTTCACAAGTTTTGTTTCTTTTGTGGACTCATGGGGCATGTCCACACTTTCTGCTTGAAGGCTCGGGAGAGTCGGGTCCCGGAGAATGAATTTTCGTATGGAATTGAATTGAGGGCAGGAGGCGGAAGGGGTGCCGCAAGGGGGTGGGTGGGAACTGGCTTATTCCAGTGGGGGGGAGGCCGTTACCATTGCCGGGGCTCGACCGGACAGTGAGGAGGGAGTTGGGGGGAAGAGGGCGGAAGGCCGTGGTGAGGAGGGAGTCTCGGGTGGTGTACGTCGGGTGGTGGGGCTGTGGTGGCAACCGGGAAGCGCCGCAGGGAGGGCAACAAGGGTGTGATGGGTCGGAGGATGGAGATGTGGCAATGAATGATGTTTCAAAAAACTTGTGTATGGTGGGCTGCTACTCAGCCCCGCCGTCTCATGAGTACGCTAAGTTGGAACTGTCGTGGCTTGGGCAATCCACGAACAGTTCGACAAGTGGTGGACATTGTGTCCCGAAAGAAGCCTAAGTTTGTCTTTTTAATGGAGACTATGATGGCACGGATACATGCAGAAAGGCTCCGTGTCACGATTGGATATGAGGGTTTGTTTTATGTGTGATAATGCCGGATGAGTGGTGGTATGGCGTTGTTTTGGAGGAAGAATAATTCGGCATCTTTGTTGGGTTATTCTAAGAATCATGTAGATGTGGAGGTAAGGGCTCAGAATGGTAAACAGTGGCGAATGACATGTTTCCATGGGCATTTGGATCACAGTAGGACGTGGGAGTCCTGGGGTTTGTTGGAAAGTTTGAAGGCTAAATCCTTGCTGCCCTGGGTGGTCATAGGGGATTTTAATAATCTTCTATTTCAGTATGAGAAAAGAGGAGGGAATCCGTACCCGAATCACCTCTTACGAGGCTTTGGGGAGACCTTAGATGGTTGTGGTTTGATACAGTTACCTATGTGGGGCCATCAGTTTACTTGGGAGAAGAGTAGAGGGACGGACAATTGGATTGAGGAGAGACTGGATAAGGTTTTAGCCACAGCTGATTGGTGTGGGCTAAACGACCATGTAGACGTGGAAAACATCATAGCTCGGCCTTCAGATCACTCGGCCCTCTTTCTTAGTATGGATGCGCCATGCATACGTGGGGGAAGAGTTGCGAGGAGATTTAGGTTTGAGATGGCATGGCTCCAGGATGAGGGGTGTAGGGGGTGGTGGCAGCGGCCTGGCAGGGAGGAGGGTTGAGGGGTTGCTGAATTGTCAGCAACGGTGTGGGGAGAGGTTGATGAGGTGGGGTGGAGAGAACTTCCATAAGTTTGGAGAGCGTATTGGGAGGTTGAAAAAGAGACAGGGAGCTATCCGGAATAGGAGGGACCCGGCCGCGTTGGCCGAGTTCCACCAGATCGATGTGCTCTTAGCCCGACTGGAGGCGCAGGAGGATGTGTTCTGGAGACAACGAGCAAAGCAGCACTGGCTACGTGGTGCAAATGCAAATACGAGGTTCTATCACAGGTATGCTTCTGCTCGTAAAAAAAAGAATACTGTGAATAGAATTTTGAATAATGATGGCATGTGGGTGGAGAGGGAATGATATGTGCTCTGTTATCCTTGACTATTTTCGACAAATTTATACAACTGAGAGTACTGCTTTTGATGATGCTATGCTTGATAATTTTGCCCCGCGAGTAACGCATGCTCAGAATGAATATTTATTGCGTCCGTTTGGACCAGAAGATGTGAAAGAGGCAATAAGTTCCATGTATCCTGACAAGGTGCCTGGCCCGGATGGATTGAATCCAGGCTTTTACCAGCACTTCTGGGATGTAGTAGGGGGGATGTGTCTGAATTTATAATATCCTGTTTGAATACAGGCAATCTTCCTGAAGGCGTAAATGATACAAATATTGTTCTAATCCCAAGAAGAATGTGCCGGAAAGGGTCGCTGATATGAGACCGATTGCTCTTAGTAATGTTATTTACAGGGTAATGGCTAAGATGATAACAAATAGGATGAAACCACTAATGGGGGGCCTGATCTCAGAGTCTCAAGTGCGTTTATTCCCGGGCGCCTGATCATGGATAACATCCTTGTTGCAGCAGAGGTGGGGCATTATTTGAATAGGAAGCAATGTGGGCTAACAGGATGGAGTGCCTTAAAGCTTGATATGTCGAAGGCGTATGACAGGATGGAGTGGGCGTTTTTGCAGAGAATGCTGTGTGCTTTTGGGTTTGATCAGCGGTGGTTACCCTTATTATGCATTGCGTCACAACTGTGAGATATACGATTATGGTTAATGGGGTGGCTGGTGGGCAGATAACACTTACGCGTGGGCTCAGGCAAGGGGATCCTCTATCTCCTTATTTGTTTATTATTTGTGCAGAAGGGCTTTCTATGCTTTTACAGAAAGCACAGATGGATGGAGCAATACATGGTTGTAGGGTGGCAAGAGGAGCACCCCTGGTGTCCCATCTATTTTTTGCAGATGATAGCCTACTGTTTTCAAAGCTAATATTGAGGAGGCTGATGTAATTAGACAGTACTTACACCAATATGAGAGATTGTTTGGTCAGAAAGTGAACTATGACAAGTCCAGTATATGTTTTAGTAGGAATACTCATGAAGAAATAAAGGGGAGGTGGCGGCGTGTTTAGGGTGAACCAGGTGGCTAACTTTGGAAAATATTTGGGTCTCCCATCGTTTGTAGGCAGGAATAAGAGAGCTGTTTTTTCCTATGTGGAGGATAAGATCAGACAAAGAATTGGTTCGTGGAGTAAAAAGTTGCTTACTCAGGCTGGTAAGGAAGTGCTCTTGAAAAGTGTGGCTCAATCTATGCCAACTTTTTCTATGAGTGTTTTTTTGTTACTGAGACAGTTTGCACATCGATTGAAAGGACCATGAACAGATATGGTGGGGTCTGGAACGGATAGGAAGATACATTGGAAAGCTTGGGATAAATTGTGTATCCCTAAGAAATATGGGGGACTGGGATTTAAGGATCTACGGGCTTTTAACTTGGCAATGTTGGAAAAGCAGGCATGGCGGTTCCTCACAGAGCCTACTACTTTGGCAGCAAGAATATATAAAGCCAGGTATTATCCGAATACATCTTTTGTTGATGCTACCATAGGAATTGCCCAAGTTTTTGTTGGAGAAGTATAATGGCTGCACATGGAATGGTTTGTTCGGGAGTAAGGAGGCGAGTAGGAAATGGTGAAAAAACATTGATATGGGGGCATCCTGGTTACCAGATAGTCCCAGTCCGTTGGTCCAAACAATAATGCATGAGGAGTTACGACATGCCCATGTTGCAGGTTTGATTGACCGGCAGACTAATACCTGGGATCCGCATATTCTGGCTGATTTATTTATCCCTGAGGATGTGGCACGCATTTCTATGATCCCTGTTAGCCGGACTATGAGGACACATGGTATTGGAAGGGAGAGATGAATGGAATATATTCGGTTAAAAATGCCTATAGGCAGATTAAGGGGATTATGAGCATAGCCCAGGTGATTTTGATAAATGGGTTACTCTATGGAAGCTGAGAGTGCCACCCAAATGGAAAACCTTCTTGTGGAGAGCAGTTTGTGATATCCTCCCTACTACAAAAATCTAATACTGAGAAGAGTTGAGATTGAGCCGATTTGCCCAATGTGCCAAGGGGCGCAAGAAAACGCCATGCATGCGTTACTCTTGTGTGATTATTCTAAATTAGTATGGTGTTTGTCGGGTTGCCTGTTACCAAATACTTACTAATTCATTGTCGACATGGCTTATGGAGTTTTTACTGTCTTAACAGAGGAACAGTGTGGCCTAGCTGTGGCTATACTGTACGCTATTTGGAGTGCCCAATGCTGCGGTATGGGAACGTGCTCTCCAAAGACCGAGTCGGACATGGCACCGAGCGGTGGCAGCCATGCAAGCATACCGACGATCGGCCCCCTGGCGACTGCACCGGCACCTACTGCCTTGACCGAGCAAGCTGGCAGCAACGTCCCACGTTGCTACGTCGATGCTGGTTTCAGACCGGGTACTGGAGAGGCGTCATTCGGAGTAGTGCTCGTCTCGCACCATGGCTCATTTATTGCGGCAACAAATGGACGGCTGGCTGGGGCTTTTTTGGCTACTATGGCCGAAGCGCTCGCTTGCAAGGAGGCACTATCTTGGCTTAAGGGTCGGGATATCATGGAGGTGGACATCTTAACGGATTGCATAGACTTACGAAATATTCTACACTCAGGCGCGCGGCTAAATACTCCTACCTTGGGATCATCGTGGACCAGTGCAGGACGGCTATATCGTTGTTTACGAAATGTTCTTTAAGTTACGTTTCTAGGAATTTAAATTTACATGCCCATACTTTAGCTTCTCTAGCTTTCGATCAGGATCAAACTATGTATTGGGACTCTGTTCCTCCTGACTCTATCATTCACTTTATTCATTAATATACCGCTTGAAAATTTTTCAAAAAAAAAAAAAGTCAATCGTGTTGTAAAAATTATGTTGACTAAACCACTTTGGGAATATTTTTTGAACGTGGAGTCAAAATGGAATTCTCATGTAATTATCCTAATTACAAGGCTTATTTTATTAAATCCGATAAATTTGAAAACTTACAATCACACCCATACCTAAATCCAAAATATAATAAATCTCAATCAAAGTTATATCATATCCCTCATTTATGTCCATGTTTTTAATGCTAATCATTTTGTACATTATGCTTTTAGTTGTACTATATAAATTTTTGGACAAAAATACCCCTATCGTTATAACTTCCGTTATCTTTTCCATTATTGTTACCATTCACACGCATCCACCATACATTATATTTTCTTATATTCTTTAATGATAATAATATTTGTAGACATTATATATTGGATTATTATAATAAATAAATTTGATTTCATATAGATTTTAATTAGTAGGGAATTATTTATTTATTTATTTGAGAACAATTAGTAGAGATTTGTTAGTTATCTTAAAAGATATAAATATTGAACATATGTTTTTTGCGCATCGCGCATAGAAAACACTAGTAAGATAATAAAGGGATTGGAAATGCTTCACAGCATTTTCTTTGGAGAAAATTATACATTTGTACTCAATATAATAATAATAATAATAATAATAATAATAATAATAATAAATAATAATAATAATAATAATAATAATAATAATAATAATAATAATAATAATGTTTATTTTCATTTTAATTTTTTAAAATGTGGTGTCTAAATTATTTATTGGGTTGTCAAGTTACGGAGTTGCTTGAAAGATGTTTGTCAATTGTCCTTGAGGGTTATTGGGGCCTTTTGGTAATTTTAAATTTCCTCTCTTAATTTATTTTCACCATTAAAAAAAAAGGTGTTTATCAGCAAATATTAACCAATTTATATCGTGCACTACGGCGCACATTGCTATGTGCGGTCAGGCACAAAACGCGCGCTTTTCATGCTGATTTATGCTGGCGTCACTCCGTCCATCCGAACAGACCAAATCTCATTATGTGTATTCAGTTAAAATTTTATGTGTATTGTGTTATGAGTTTACGTGTATTCAGTTAAGAGTTTATGTGTATTATGTTAACCAAACACATTATGTGTATTCAGTTAAAAGTTTATGTGTATTGTGTTATGAGTTTATATGTATTCAGTTAAAATTTATGTGTATTATGTCCATTATGTGTATTCAGTTAAAAGTTTATGTGTATCATGTATTATGTTAGATTATGTGTATTCGGTTATGAGTTTTGTATTCTGTTATGAGTTTATGTGCATTCGAAACAGATGATTTTTTTTTTTTAACAACTTAACAAAACGACGTCGTTTTGAGAGGCACGGGACGCACAGTATGTGCCCTGGTGCACGGTATAACGATTGAATATTAACTTATGAAAGACTATTATGTTAGGCCCAAAAATCCTAATATTTCGTACGCTGGTTAAACAAAACAGCAATATAATGGGCCCAACGTACCACTGGACACAAATTATATCAAGGAACAGAATTCATGATGTGTTTTGTGGACCTTGGTCTAGATTTTGTATAAAAATTTTGATGTAGTAAATACATTGTGATATACAAATATGCCTAAGTACGATCTCAGGGCCTAATATACAGGCTCGGGTATTTGTGATAATGGGTTGGACGATCTCGAGTTAATACTAGGTTGAGTAGAAATCTCACAGTCCCTCTCACGGCATTAAATATGCTATTTATAGGTAATTAAAAAGGGACAAATAGGGAATGTACCAAGCAAGTATTCCACCGGAATGGAGAGTATGTTTCAAGGTATCTACACTCATGTGGATAATGTTGTCAATACTCAAGGAGGAAAATTCGAAGCATCATTTGATGAAAATCGGAGGAGTCAACAACACCTGATTGACACACATCAAGCACTTGAGAGACAAGTTGGTGGATTGAACAAATGTCAAAGGGCAACTCAATGAGTTCTACATCCAACTATCTCAAATCCTCAAAAATTCTGGAAAAGCAAATGAAGCAATTGCCGTGAATCAAAGTCAAGGAATTCTCAATGTGGTTCATCAACATGAGAAGCAGATTAGTGATGTCCACACAGATCTCATCTCCATCAACACCAAAGTGGGCTGCCTTCGAGGTTCATATGAAAACATATCCGAATCTGTTTCATCTCTTTGTGAGTCAGTTTATACACTCATTGATTACGCCAAAAAGGGGGAAGAGAGATTCAGTCATTTGGAAGGCATGCTTGAAATGATGATGGCTGCCATGGCTACCCGAAATGTTGGTACAAGCAGTAGTAGAGGAGGAGGAAGCAGATCTGCTGGCAGAAACATTGCTAGAAGAGGAGGATTGGAATATTGGTTCGGTAGTGGTGAAGCTGGCAGTCCAAGAGGATCAAGCAGTGCAAATACCACTAACCGTTCATTTCGTGACATTGTTTGTGCAGGTGGAAATATTGAGCAAATCAATTGGTACAACAAAGCAGCTCTCTATTTGGAATCCACACCAAGAGATGGTAGGGTTGAAATGCCAAGATTGGCAAGCTTGAATGACCTACCATAGGGAATGAAGAAAAGTGGTCCAAGTGACCAAAATTTGTGGGTTTCGAATGAGAACTTCAGGAGGATCAAAAGCTATGCTAGAGCTTTGATGATCATGGTTCTTAAGGATTATATCAAGGTCAATGATGCCGAGCTTCAAGGAGGAAGGAGTCTAGAAGAGTGCATCATATGGTATGAAGAAGGAATACTGCCCGGGACAACATTATTGAAGCATTCAACTATT